TCAAGTGATGAGTGAAACTCTAGGCTATTATATGGACAAAAATAAGGATGGCTGTTACATATTAAAGCCTTTGCGTGCATTGATATTTTAGTATTATAAATGAAGCAAGAATTGAATATGATTGCTGATGCTTTGTTATTTATTTGTTTTTAAATTGATTATTGTTTGTTTGTATATTAATCGAAATTGCAAATTAATGTTGAGGTCAATATATTATGTACTAGCTAGTAAAAAATAATTCAAAAATTATTATAAATTTCAGGGTTCTGCATCGTGTCTAACTCGGCTTGGCTTAGCCAACATGCGAGCTAGTTTGTGCTTGCTTGACAAGCCAAGCACTAGCTAGCTTGTTTGAAATTTTTTTGGCTCTACTCATCCCACCAATCGTCAATGGTCAGGTGAGTCGAGCTAGTTCGCAAGCCGTTTTGTCTTGCCATCTTTGTTTTTGTAAATTAACTCAATCTTTTTTTAAAGCTGTTTTTCCCCCCTTGTTTGAAAGTAGTTGAAAATTAAGTCCTTAAAACCATCGTTTGAAGTATTTGTATTACTAAGAAATTGATTAAATCGTCATTATATTGTAATTCATTTGAAATAGAATTATGCGATGTAGCCAAATAGGTGTTAAACATCAGTCCTAGGTGATTTATATCAAAATATGATGCTTAAAATAGAACCTAGATCGTGTTTATGTTGTGCTCATGGCATTACACTTTGAATTACGGAAAGAAAAGTAGAGATAAAAGGCAATATTCAATAGAAGATAATTGAGAAGCGAAGGAAATTATGACCAAAAAAAGGGAAAATAGCAACAACAGTCCCTAATTTTTTTAATTTTTGCAGACTTTACCATAACCTTGAGTTTGTGCCACCAAAGACCCTTAACCTTTCAAAAATGTGCATCTAGAGTCCAAATGGATGGAATCCGTCCACTTTTCTATTAGTTGACAAAAAAATTTATTTTGACCAAATTTAATAAGGGTAAAATGGTAACTTTAAAATTAACACAATAAATAAACAAACAAAAAAACCAAAATAATATTAAAAATAAGAAAATAAATATAAAAAAGGTTGTCTTCTTTCACACCCTAACCCTGTCCCTAAAAACAGGCAACCACCGTCAACATCACTGTCGGCCAACTTCAACGCCACCACCAGCAAATAGAAATCCAACGAAATGATTAATCCAACAAAAAAATAATTAGCAAAATCCCCTCAATGACGACTCATCTTTTAACCACTGTAACCTAACAAAATCTGAACACAATAAAATCCGACCACTATAATACCAAATGGTGCAACCTTGGTAGCCCTTCAATTTTGGTAACCCAATAACCTTTTAGCCCCAAATTTTGGTGACCCACCAGTTGAAGGCTTTCATCAAAACGGTGTCAGAGAATAATCAAAGGAGAAAATGGTTTTCGTGAGCGCACTGTGTGCAAACTGGAAGAATGGGTTGCATAATCTGTTGATATTAGTGGGAACCCATGGTGTCAATAGGTACGCCATGATATGGGGATGTTGGGTAGAGATGGCAGCGACCATGGGCACTATCGTCCTGGCTGGATATAGCGTTTGAATGTTGCATGTTCGATGGGCCCGAAGAATAGCAAAGCAAATTCTGATTGTGTGTACTTTCTGAATGTAGATTTTTGTAGAAACTTAAATAATTATTAGATGATGGATTTAGAGATGTTGTGGTGGTGGTGGTTAGTACAGGCGGTGGCTTTTTGGAGGCGGAGGCGACTGTGGCTGTGGGTTTGATTTTCGTGGGATAGGATGAGGTGTGGTGGAAGAAGACATCTTCCACTTCTTTTTTAAATTTTTTTTGATGTAATATATTTAATTGTTTATAATCGAAAAATATGAAGTTACAATTTTACCCTTTTAAAAATAGATAAAATATGGTCAAAATAATTTTTCTGGTTAACTAACAGAAAAGTGGATGAATTCCATCCATTTGGACTCTAGATGCACATTTCTGAAAGGTTAGGCTCCGCTGATGGCACAAATTGAAGATTATGGTAAAGTCTGCACAAATTGAAAAGGTTAGGGACTGATGTTGCAATTTTCCCCCAAAAAAATGAATAACTAAAGAAATGATTGCGAAGTTTTATGGCTAGAAAGTGGTATACAAAAATTTGAACGTGTGGGCATGTTCAATAGTGATTATGAGAATTAATTTTTTGACATTTAAAGAGAAAAGTATATCCCATCTGTAAGTGAAGAAGTAAAAAATGACGACTGAAATAGTAAAATAATATTCAAAATATTGATTTTTTGGAATGAAAATTTGCTACCAAACGGGAACTATGTAAAGAAGGAAAATAAAGAAATATAAAAAAGCATTTGTTAAAAACAAAAAGTCCATTTTTATGGACAAGAAAAAGTGAAAAAGTAAAGATATGCTTTTGAAATTTGAATTTCACCCTTGAAATTTAGACTTATGGAAATTACGCTAAACCATACTTTAAAAATTCAACACTCTAAAATCAGGTTGGAAGTTTCACATTTCAAAAATCAGAATTTTTTATATTAATTATTTAGATAAACTAATAAAAGTAGGAAAAGGGAAAAACCCTACCCACTACCCACCAAACTCATAACTCTCTCTCTCTATCTTTCTCTCGCCTTCCCTCTCCCTCCATTCTCTATTCCTTTTCCATCATCTCTTCGACGCAAATCTATTGCGAATCCGCATCGTTTCTCCGATGTAAGGTTGTCTAGCACCATGCTCCAATCATCGCTACAAGGCTGTGCGGATCTGCGTCGATATCGATTTTGGAAGTTTCTAAAATCATCACTACTGGTATGGTTGTTTTGGTGTGCTGCTGTGGTGGTTTGGGTGTGTTGCTGGTATTGATTTTAGAATGTTTGTGGATCTGTGTCGGTGATTTGGGATGGAGACAGGGGCGACGGTAAGGTGGTGTGATGATGGCCATTGTGGGATTCTAGTAGTTTTGGATTCTACTGTTGGTGATGTTGGCTCTGGTGGTGGTCGTGATGTTGGCTCCGGTAGTGGTCATTGCATTGGTTGTCACTTCTAATTTTGGATCTATTTTGCTATGTCATCACAGTGGTGGTGAATTAGTGGTAGTTTTGGTAGTCACAGCTTGGCATTGGCGATGGTGGTCACAATGTAGGTGGTGTAGGTGGCGGTGGATTGAGCGGAAGATCTAGGAAATTTGGGTCCAATTTGTGGTCGTAATGGTGGTAATTATTGTAATAATTTTTTTCTTGGTAGCGGATCTGGCATCGACGATGTGGTGGTGCTTTTGCGATGGGTTGATTTGTTTAAAGTGGTTACAGTGGTTCTATCGACGATGGTGGTGGTGGTAGTGCTGGAATAGTGGTGAGATGGTGGCTGGAAGTGTTGATGACAGTCACAAATTATCGATCAATTGTAAACATCGTAAATCATTGAATGTAGCATTTTTTCAATTAACACAAAGTGCAAAACTCAAAATGTGTGTGTGAATATTCATGTAAAACATCACGAATTCATGACTGGTTTAATTCTCAACCCATAATAGTCAAATGTTTGCTTTCTTTACTCGTCAGATACATACCCTAAACAAATGTGTTTCACTCACTTTTCTCAAGGTGTGCACTTAAGTTGATTTTAGCTTATTCTAATCCTCATCCTCTCCAATTCAAATAGATTTTTGCTAGTATAAATTAACATTTCAACGAATAAAGATTCTCCTATATTTCTGATTATTTATGCCTCAACTAAGCTAATAATCATTCGTCAAATGGCTAATTCTCTAAAACAAGTGTTTGTGACTTAATTCGTCAAATGGCTAATTCTCTAAAACAAGTGTTTGTGACTTAATCTTGGCATTTGGTGCGTCTATTGTTTCATGCCCTGCTTATTCTGCTTTTTCATCATTCGAATTATTATTATTATTATTATTATTATTATTATTATTATTATTATTATTATTATTATTATTATTATTATTATTATTAGTATTGTTATTATTATTATTATTATTATTATTTAACTTCTTTTTGTTAAGTGACTAATTAACTCCTATAGCAAGCCCAAGTCAGACGACCATAATGCATCAAGTTTTAAAGACCCTTGCAAGCTTAATTACTCGAATTAAAAAGGCACTGAAGAGAAGTTCCACAATTAAGCCTTTTCACTTCGTTATAATTGCCAAGATTAGTGCCAAGCCCCTTATTAAACACCAAGTCTCGAAAATCGACCTCTAAATTAAGATTCTTGCCTCATTTCATTTTGTTAGCCCTAGATAATCCACAAAACAGTTTTACGCGTGGAATCCCTATTTATTACTATGTTCCCATACATTGGTTCAATCATCTCCAAACTTTCATAAAGAAGTTTTATCGGTATATTTAATTGTGATTTTCCAAGTTTACATTAATTATGTTCAGCTTTCGCCTAACATGAACTAAGTCATCAACTCATAATACAAAACATGAATATAGTGCTCAATAAAAATCAAGTTTCACATAGACAAGTGCTCAATAAACATTAT